GGCTCAGGCAATCCTTCTTGCCTCAGCCTCCCAAAGTGCCCAGGAACTCCAGGGCAAAGCCAATGTGGTGTAAGCCACCATGCCACCCTCTCCACTCCCCAAATTTATTGTTTTAATTGTATACATTTTTTTAGTTTAAGTGGATTCCAAATATCATGTGAGATCTACTCACACTAAAAATTGTTCATTGTTCATCTGAAATTGAAATTTAACTTGACATCCTGTGTTTTTGTTTATTAAATCTGGCAACCCTAGCATTGATCTCCTTAAATGTGGAGAGACCCGTGTTAGAGCAGTTATTGTGGTGCCCTAATGAAGGTTCTGGAGACTGAGAGAGCAGAGGTGGAAATGGAGAGTAGTGGACAGAGAAGGAACAGCCTTGGCTGGTCCACATCTGCCACCCAAAAGCATCTGGAGGACAGAAGCTATCAGCTTCCCTCCTGCTTTAGACTTTAATTTTCACACACATGCCAATGCAAGACACGTGGCTATGAGTGGGACATACTGCAGTCTTAGCACAGGGCCATGACTGGTCAGAACCTGCCCTAAATGTCCTATAGTGGGCATGCCGTGACAGCATGTGTGCGTGTATGTGTGTGTTGGGGGAGTCATCTTCCTATCCCCATCCCTCCAGGCTCAGGATGCCTGAGAGGTGAGATCTTCGCACCACAGTGACTGCTGACGCGTGTGACGGAGAGTTTGGTCAAGACCTTTATAAGAATAGAGGTGATACTGTAAGTGAGATGCTGTTTTTCCCCAGGATAACTCATATTTTAGCAAAGGAATCAGTAAAGTCAAGAATACGGGCATTGCCAGGGGGATCTTGGCTTTTCAGCTTTTTTTGTTTTTTGAGTTGGAGTCTCACTCTGTCGCCCAGACTGGAGTGCAGTGACCGCTCCCGACCACTGCAGCCTCGACCTGCTGGGCTTCGGCGATCCTTCTACCTCAGCCTTCCAAGTAGCTGGAACTACAGGTGCGCGCTACCACATCTGGCTAATTTTTTGATTTATTGTAGAGATGAGGTCTCGCCAAGTTGACCAGGCGGGTCTTGAACCTGCGGGCTCAGGCAATCCACTCACCTCAGCCTCCCAAAGCGTGGGATTACAGGCTGAGCCACCGAGCCCGGCTGGTTTTTCAGCTTTTTATTTATTTATATATATCTATGAGCTAGGGGCCTCACTATGTTGCCCAGGCTGGTCTTGAACTCCTGGTTTCAAGTGATCCTACCACCTCAGCCTCTCAAAGTGCTGGATTACAAGGTGTGAGCCACCGTGTCTGGGCTCATGTAGCATATTTTTTTAAAATTAGATTTTATTATGGAGATGTGGGGTACAAGTGAGGGTTAGCTATATAAGTAGGCTTCATGCAGGTAAAGTTTGGGCTTCTAACCGGCCCTCCCTTCCCCTGGTGTAGGACCAGGTGCCCTTTGTGCTGTCATGTGCCCCCACTACCCTTCTCCCTCCCTCCCCGTCAGTGCCCATGATTTTGTTCTTTTTTATGACTCTGTAATACATCTTCGTGTGTATGTACCACACCAAATTTTCTTCATCCAGTCCACTTTCGGTGGGCAGTGGGATTGTTTCCATGTTTGGGTTATTGCAAATAGCACAGAGCATATTTTTCAGATTAGCACCAGTATACCCCAAGAGCCAGGCATATAGAAGATGCTTAAACAATGGCACGCGCTACTAGAAATAAGCCATCTCCTTGTTTCCGACAGCAGGCTCACTCTTCCTCTTTGCACACAGCCTCACTGGGTTGTGTCCTCGGTTCCCAGCTCTGGCTTTGTCATTGTTCACCTCCTGCTGGCTTTGTCGCCTTGGCCGCAGAATCGCCAAGGCTCCGGCCACGACCGGCCCTGTTCCCCGTCTGAGCCCCTCGCTCCAAATGCGTCAGCCCATTTTATCCTTCTCAAAACCAGTCTGAGCTTGTATTTTTTGTTTCCCTGGAGTGCCTTAGCCTGTATTTGTTCAAGTCTTATTCATCAGAAGCATTTACAAGGCAATGTTAATAGAAGTGTGATCCGAACGAGATAAAACATGCAGAGAAAATGAAACAAATGCCCGGCAGTGGGGAAATGGCTAAACAAATTAGCATTCATGTCTATGGTATAATTGCTACGCGTCCATTAAGGTAGCTCTATGTGAACTGACCTGGAAAGATATTTATGATGTATTGCTAAATGAAAAAAGCAAATTGCAGAGCAATACGTGAAGGAAGCTCACAGTTTTTAGAAGGGTATCCAGTTCTATATGTATGAAAAGAGTTGATATAAAAAATATTCCAGGTTGGGTGCAATGGTTCACACCTGTAATCCCAGCACTCTGGGAGGCCAAGGTAAGAGGATCGCTTGAGTCTAGGAGTTGGAAACCAGCCTGGGCAACGTAGTGACACCGCATCGCTACAAATAAAAAATAAAAATTGCCAGGCGTGGTGGTGAATGCCTGTAGTCTCAGTTACTTGGGAGGCTGAGGCAGAAGGCTCCCCTGAGCCCAGAGAAGGCTGAGGCTGTGGCAAGCCATGATGATGACACTGCCCTCCAGCCTGGGTGACAGAGGAGACACTGACTCAAAAAAAGAAAACAAAAAAACCCCCCATACTTTTAAAAGACGTTTTCTATTGGGAGGAATGTGTGATTGGGTTGGAAGTGAAAGAAACGTCTTAACATTTAGTTAATATCCTTCAGTGGCTTTGTTTTGTTTAATGTAATTGTGTTGATTTTATAATTAAAATTAAATTAGAATGCATACACATAATGCTTAGAAGAAATAAATAAACCATGGCTATGTTTCAGTTGTTAGGCTGGGGATGTTTTCCCTCTGTCCCTACTTTGTTGTTTTTTTAAGGAGCAAAACAATAAGAAAAAGTGACCCTTCTGGTAAATCTAACTGAAATGCTACTGATTCTCTGAGATATTTTTCTGGTTCCTCAGCTACCGCTTTTCTTTGCTATCTCCTTTCTTTGAACCCTCAAAGCACTTTGTATATCTTTTTTTTTTTTTTTTGAGTTGGAGTCTCACTCTGTCGCCCAGGCTGGAGTGCAGGGGCCGCTCCCGACCCGCTGGGCTCCGGCGATCCTTCCGCCTCAGCCTTCCAAGTAGCCGGAACTACAGGCGCGCGCTACCACACCTGGTTAATTTTTTGATTTATTGTAGAGATGAGGTCTCGCCAAGTTGCCCAGGTGGGTCTCGAACCCGCGGGCTCAGGCAATCCACTCACCTCAGCCTCCCAAAGCGTGGGATTACAGGCTGAGCCACGGAGCCTGGCTACTTTGTATATCTTGTGTGAAATTTATCGCACTCTATCTTAGTGCCTATTTCAGGTATTCAAGTGTGAAGACAAGTATTTCACACACATCTCACTGCCCCTCTGGATTTAAGCAACATGAGACTATCATAATGGAGAAGAAAGCAGGTCTTCAAGTTAGAAGACCTGGCCATTGGCTCTAGTTTTGGCTACCTAATGCAGCATGACCAGTTAGCACAAACTTAGTCACTTAGAGCCACAGTCATTCTGCTCTATCTCATGATGTAGAGAACCTGGGCAGAGCTGAGCCAGGTGATTATTCTGCTCCATGTGGTGTCGACTGAGGTTTTGTTTTGTTTGGGGTTGGGCTGGACAGGAGGGTTCTAGGAGACTTCCGTCTTATGCCTGTTGTTCCACAGAGCCGCTGGCAGGCTGGGCTTGGCTTCTCCCTCTCTGATTACTCTCAGGTCTCCTGCACAGACTTTTTGGCATGGCTCAGGGCTTCAAGGGATCTTCTTAAAGATGTGACCAGCATGGTGTCACTTTTCTATTCTCTACTTGTCAAGTGGCCACAGAATCCACCCAGATTGAAGCAGGGTGGGAACAGAGATGCTCTTTCTTAAAAAGAGAATTTGTCTTAAAAAAAAAATGTGGGCCAGGCTTGGTAGCTTAGCCTGTAAGTCTAGCACTTTGGGAGGCTGAGGTGAGTGGATTGCCTGAGCCCGCGGGTTTGAGACCAGCCCGGGCAACTTGGCCAGACTTCATCTCTACAATAAGTAAATACATAAAAATTAGCTGGGTGTGGTAGTGCACTCCTGTAGTTCCAGCTACTTGGAAGGCTGAGATGGAAGGATCGCTAGAGCCTAGCAAGTTGACACTGGGGTGACTGTGAGCATGCCACAGCACCCCAACCTGGGCGATGGAGTGAGACTCCAACTTCAAAAAAAAAAAAAAAAAAATTATGTGGCCATCATCAGTTTACCACAGCTTTGCTATGAGAAGCACAACCTCTGTGTCTCAATTACTGTATTTGTAAATTAGAAAGACCCAAAGCTGTAATGTATGCAAAAGGACACTATGCATTACAAGAAACCATGTGCACTATAGATATTAACAATTATCTTGGTAGTAAATCTATGCCTTAGTCAAGGCAGGCACCCCTCAAATGTTGATAAGTTTCCAAGCAAACGCATTTAAACACAGATATTTCCAAAGAGAAACAGAGAAAGTGATACTCGATGATTGCCTAGAAGCGTGGCATCCTTGTAGAATACAGGCTTTGGGTTAGGTTGGTGGAAGTTAAATTAGGTAGGTATGGTAAGCTCTAATACCCAGTTACTATCTGTGTGGCCTTTGTGACTGATCTCTGAGCCTTAATCTCCTCATCATAATATGGAAATAGTATCGCCTACCTAGCTGGGTTGCTGTAAGCATAGGAGATAATTTGTGTCAAGTGCCTAGTATGGTCGCGTAGTAGGCCTACATTTTCTCCTAAGATGGTATAGCAGAGTCCTATGGAAAGTTTGGACCCCTTACTTGTTCCTCTGCACTGATCACAGCCACGGGCACAAAGGATCGCAGTGGGGGTTGAGAGCCCTCATCACTGTGAACGCGTTGGGAGACAGGGAAGGGCTTCCTGCTCGCTTCCTCTCTCTCCAGAGCGCTCCCCTCCTGAGATCCGTGCCTGTGCAGCTCTGGCTGTGAGGCCAGCCCTCTCTGCTGGCTGTGTGTGACCTGCGACTTTCCCTTCCCCAGATGTACGAGATCAAGACTGGAAACAGCATTGCCAAGAAGTTCAGCGTGGTTCTGCAGAAGCTGAGCTCGCCCCTGAAGCCCAGAGTTCCGGAACACAGCCACAACAAGATGAAGAACCTCTCCTACCCATTCTCCAGGGAGAAGATGTACCTGTGAGTACCGAGGCTGCGGGTGCAGGCATGTGACAGGGAATGGGAAGGAAAATCCGGCGCGGTTCCATGCCTCAGTCCTGGGGCTCACAGAGTGAGTGCCTGATGCCAAGGAGGAGCAGCCTCTCACGGCGACACGATCCCTGCCCTGCTCTGCAGACCTTTCCCCCACACGAGATGATCCCAAGTCGCCCTGGGCGTTTGTCCAGTGGGGAGACCTGCCCTTCGGCTGTCGTGCATGGGATGGAGAACCAGGGACCAGCCAACTCTAGATGTCAGAACTCTGTGAGGGAGGAAGTGGTCAGACGCCGATTTAAGCTTCTGCGGGGAAACCTTCTGCCCGGTTTCCACAGGGTGGGATCAGCCAGAAAGATGGTGAATGGAGCTTCTGGGTTTAGGTGGTCCTGGCTGTCTACTCATGCACTCGTTGACTTTGAGGAAACAACCCCCGCTTCCTTGCCCCCCACTCCGAAAGAGTGCATGAAAGCCCTTTGCGGGAATGGCCACTGGGGAAACATTTGGGAGGGGAGCCATGGCTGGGAAGTGGGAGAAGCGCGAATTAATTCTGCTCTAGGAGCTAATGAGAAAATAAGTCACTGCCAGGAGTGGCAAGAGGGGGAAAGAAAGGGTCCTGGGAAGGCAGAGAGGGTAGAAAGAAGAAAACCTTTTACAGGAGGTGAAAGTCATGGGGCAGTGTGTCTGCTGATCGCTGGGGGATAGCTCCTGCCTGCTTTGCCGTGGTCGATATTAATGCTGTACCCACATGTGTGCCAGTCCTTTTGCGTCTTCATCCCTCCCCGGAATCCCGACCCCTCTCCCTCCCGTGAGGCAGCGGTTACATCTAACCATTGTAACCTTTACTACAAAGAATATATAAATATGAGGGGACCCCCAAACCCTGGGATTTATTTCTAAAATATTGTGTATTTATTCTCACATGTTGAAACTTCAGTCACCTTCAAAGGACCCTTCGTCTGGTACAATACACCCATCGAGATGCTTTTTCCACCGCTCAAGACAGTTTTCGGACTCGTCCATTTTGATGCCTTTTAGTGCTTTATTTTTTGTTTCGCCTCTTCCACATCGGCAAAACATTTCCCTTTGCAAGCTTTTTGCATGGAAGGAATCAAAAAAGTTACCCGGGGTGAGATGAGGTATAGAGGGAGGACAGGGCATGGGGGGGTCATGCTGTTTTTGGTCAGAAACTACTGGACGCTCAGTGAGCTGCGGGCAGGTGTGCTTGTAAATTGCCGTCATGAAATGGGCAAACACGTTGAAAGAATCTCCAAAACAAATTCGGTGAAGCTGAATGCAGCCTCTCACAACAGCACTAGCTGGTACACGGGTGCCAATGGGTTCCTAGAACATGGACCTAGCAGGGGAAACTTGTACTACAAAGGGCTCACCCTCCAAAAGATAGTTCTGCTCTTTTTCGGCTGCCCCCGCCCCATATTAGGCATATACAGTCACTGGATGAACTTTGGGAGGCCAGGGCAGGCGGATTGCTTGAGCCCAGGAGTTCGAGACTAGCCTGAGCAACAGAGCGAGACCTTATCTCTGTAAAAAAATAATTAAAAAACAATTAACTAGGCATGGTGGTGCACACCTGTAGTTCTAGCTACTCGGGAGACTGAGGTGGAAGGATCGTCTGAGCCCAGGAGGTCAAGGCTGTGTTGAGTGGTGATCATGCTACTGCATTCCAGCCTGGGTGACAGGATAAGATCTGGTCAAACAAACAAACAAACAAACATATACAACTATACGCATTACTTTTTATATATAACATATATATTAGACGGTGGTGGGTACACTTGAACCTCATACTTCTTCACCACTATACAATGCATCCATGTAACCAAAAAACATCTGTACCTCTAAAGCTCTTGAAATTAAAATAATAAATAAATAAAAGTAAATTTTTAAATTTGGCTACAAAAATAAAAATGGAAAAATGGTTATCATGGCTATCACCATGATAACTCCTATTGTCGAGAGGAAACTCAGGTCCCGGTCTGTCCAAGGTCACCTAGCCCTCGGGGGTGGAGTTGGGCCTGCCGTGGCGACTGACAGGTGTGGCTGGGATGCGTCTCCTCCCTGGGGTCTTCATGCACGCGGAGCTAGCGTCTGAATGGTCCCTTTCAGGTGTCTCGGTCCATTTCCCTTCTGCTGTCCTTCAAGACCAGTCCATCCACACCTCCTTTGGGAAGACAGCCTGTTCTTCCCACCCAGAAGCACGCTCCCCGCCCCCTGAGCTCGCATAGCCTTGTCTACGGATTATCACGTTTTACTCTGCCTCAGACACACACACACCAGTGACTGGGGGTTCCTGGGAGCTGGGAGCATGTTTTCTTCATCTGGACGTCCTCCAGCACTGCGCCTTTGGCACGGCAAACACGCCCCCAGTACTTTTTATTGAATGAAAGCTCGACGTCTGAAGTTCCAAACAGGCACAGGCCTTGCATTGCGAGTTTTGCCTTTAACGGATGAGATGACAGTGACAACATTATATGGAATTTTGGAAAACAAAAAGAGCCATAATCCGCACACCCAGAAACCATATTTATATTTTATTTATTTATTTATTTATTATTTTTATTATTATTATTTTTTGAGTTGGAGTCTCACTCTGTCGCCCAGACTGGAGTGCAGTGGCTGCTCCTGGCCACTGCAGCCTTGACCTGCTGGGCTCCGGCGATCCTTCCGCCTCAGCCTTCCACGTAGCTGGAACTACAGGCGCGCACTACCAGTGCGCCTCAGTTTAGCCCGGCTAATTTTTTGATTTATTGTAGAGATGAGGTCTCGCCTGCCCAGGCGGGTCTCGGACCCACGGGCTCAGGCAATCCATTCACCTCAGCCTCCCAAAGGCGCGGGATTACAGGCTGAGCCACCGAGCCCGGCTCATATTTATATTTTAAAAGTTTTCACTGTCTTACCTCCATACACAGGTATCCTTTTTTACATACTTTCAATTTGAAAACTTATCGTGGTATAATTTTTTTTTTATCATGGCATGAAAACTTTCAATATGCAAAGTTTTCATAGTTACAATTTTCAGTAGCTGCATGATCATCTCTTATCGATCCTGAAATTGCACCTCAATCTCCGTAATCTGTATTATAAATAACTTTGTAATGAATTTTTCGATTTACGTATGTCACTTTTTTTTCCCTTCTGTTGAATTTGTTCCCTGGGATTGATTTCTGTGGTGCGTTTTCAGAATTGCTGGGTCCAGAAGAGCACACGCGTCGCGAGTATGCGAGCTCCGTGCACACTTGGCCCTGCCGCCTTCTAGGTGGCCATGGGTCTGGGTGGCATCACGGCAGGAGGAAGGGGATGAGCTGACCATCTGTTCTCTTGGTGTCTCCAGGTACAACATTCAGGAAAAGGACACCTTCTTTGATAATGCCACCCGTAGCCGCATCGTAAGTAAATGGGTATGCAGTTGTTGGGACAGGGGCTGAGGGCGTTCTCAGATGAGATGGTAGCATGTTCTCTTACTCTCCCTGCAACCGCCGTCAGTATGTGCTTGAATCGCCTAGCAACCGAGAGCAGTACCCAAGCGCTTCCACATCTCAGTAGTGAAGGAAACAGCTTCCAACTGCCCTCGCTTACCGTTTGAGAGGACTGTCTTCTCTTTATGGGTTGTCCGCTAAAGTCCTCCTTGGAATCACAAAAACAGGGAACCTCAGAGCTGGCAGGGACTTCACAGCAGAGGAAACGAAGGCTCTGAGGAACAATGCATGGAAAACAATGTGTAGATTGTGTCAGAACAAGGACTAGGACTAGAAATCCGTCCTTCTGATTTCTGGGTCACTGTGTTTCCTCGTGCATTTTCCTTTCTTTCAACCCCCACGACAGAGCCATGCGAATTTCCATCCCAAGGAAGGCTAGAACTAGCCAATTTGTCAAAAACTAGAATTACCGCCCACTCGGTCGAAAGCCAACATTCATGACCACAGCCCTCCTTCCGTTGTTTTGCCTTTTATGTCAGGTGTTCGAATCTTGTGGGATGATTGATTCTAATAAAAATCGACACATGGCCTGTGTCCCTGTGTCCCCAGCCTCTATTCCCTGGAGGTCATCCAGCCAAGGGGCACAGGAAAGAAAGACGGGCCCGAGGAATGCTGGAAACCTACTCATGCCACGTGGGAAGCGTGGGCGTGTGCTTCCGGTGATCCCTGGGAAAAAACTTAAGTGGCCACAGGAAGAATAAGGGTTAGACACCCAGAAGGACTTCCCAGCCAGTAGGATGATGAGAGGGATAAAAGAAGGGACGGGTGACCAGAGGAAGCTACCAGACACTTCCCAGGCACTGAAAACATGGCCTTAACTCTTGCTTGCAGGATGGGCAAGAAAACATCTTGGGTCCCTTAGTCTAGTTTTTTTTTGGAAGGCTTAAGATGGACATGTGCTTTCTCTTCTCTTTCCATGGAGAAAGGCATAAACTTCCCATTTTCTTGGTTGCCGCGATTACAAGCCAATTAAATCTCACGGTGGCTTGGGTCCCAGGACTGTGGGGGAGTGACGGGGTGTTGTGGAGATTACCCGATAATTGCAAAGTGCTTGTAAAATAATACAATGCCCTATAAATGCTGCTCCTAATTATTATTGCTGTTGAATTACCACACTGCATTAGGAGCAGAATTAAGCACTCATGGGCCCCATTCTGCTGGATGTTATTTATTTACCATTCCCTCTCGGTCTGTGGCTGGAATACGGGAGCTAAATAAGGATGAAATCACACATCTTCTAGCATCCACCTCTCCTTCTAGAAGCATCTTCCTTCCCCTCCTGCCCCTCCCTCAGTCCCCCCAACACTGTGAGAAGGGGTATAAAGAGTCTTTTTTTTTTTGAGTTGGAATCTCACTCTGTTGCCAGGCTGGAGTGCAATGGGACGTTCCCGGCCACCATAGCCTCAACCTGCTGGGCTCCGGCGAACCTTCCGCCTCAGCCTTCCAAGTAGCCGGAACTACAGGCACGTGCTACCACACCTGTCTAATTTTTGATTTTTTGTGGAGATAAGGGCTCACCAAGTTGCCCGGGTGGGTCTCGAACCCGCGGGCTCAGGCAATCCATTCGCCTCGGCCTCCCAAAGCGCTGGGATTACAGGCTGAGCCACCAAGCCCGGCCAAAACAAGAGTCTTGAAATTTTCCCTGGAGGCTGCTCTGTCCTGTATTTTTGTCAGGGGACCTCACGCACACCAGCAAACATCTCTCCTATGCTCCCTTTTTTTGTCTGAACAGCCCAACTGTTTGTCATAAAGCAGACTTCCTTGCCAGACATCTCTTTATAGCCCGGCTTGGACCCGCCAGGAGGTCACTAGTTTACACTGACCCACCTGTGCCCTGATTCTTCTGTGGGGGTCACCCCTTTCCTGCCACGTGAGAGACAGAATCCCCACAGGCACCCCCCGTCGTGCGGGGATTTTGGTAGACCTCTTTAGGCACGCAAGGCCACCGAGTGGGTGGCCTGCTCTGTGTACCCAGGATGGTGGTCTAGGACTCAGAGCCTCAGAGGTAGCCTGTGACGTGCTCTGACTAGGAAGGCAAGGAGAAAAAGAGGAGTCGGGAAAAAAGCAGGGAAGTCATGATGCCCGTGACCGGCGTCCACTTTCCAGGGCATCGTCCTGCTGGCAGGCCCTCCTCCACGGAGACCGAGGCAGGCCTCCCGGGTCTCCTCAGGACTCTTCCGCCTCTGACCGCACCTGTGCTGTCGGCTGCCACCTGGCTCTCCCAGGCAGTGAGTGCTCCAGCCGGCAGGAGGACTGCAGGAGGCATGCCCCTCCCTGGAACCTTCTTTGCCAGGGAGAAACCCTCTTCTCTGAGCCCTCCACGTGGGAGGCGGACACTCTGTCCCCTGCGCTAGCAGCCCCTGGTGCTTCCTCTGGCCCTCAAGATGGCTCTGTGGTCTGGCCTCACCTCCCCACAGTCCATCGATAGCCTTTTATTTATTCTTTTCTTTCTTTCTTTTTTGAGGGTGGAACACAGGAGCGTGTGTCTTGTGGGGCGGGGGGTGGGTTGCATTCTTTGCTTCCTCCAAGTATTTGAGTCTGAGCCGGTTTGACGTGCGGTCCATGAGCTTGGCACATGCTTGGCTTCCCTTTCATTCCAAATGGACCCAGACAGCCCCCGCCCGCCCCCCAGGCGGTGGTGACGCACGGAATCGGCCAAGACCTTCACGGCTCTGCTGTCCTCCCCTTTCAGGTGCACGAGATCCTGAAACGCACGGCCTGCTCCCGAGCCAACAACACGATGGGTAAGGACCCCTGAAGCCCGGCCCCCACCCCCGCCGCCGGCCGGTGCCCAGCAGGCGCTGAGGGGGCCAGGCTGTTCTTTCAACAGCTCCCTTGGTGGGCAGCGAAGAGCCAGACCCACAGACGCCCCCCACGAAGGAGCTGCTTTCGCTTAGCCTGAAGCACGCTGCCTTGGCTTCCAGGAGCAGTGGGCGCCCTGTGTCTTGGGGGGGCTGGGCCGGTCCCAGGCTGTTGTCACTTGTCCCTGCCCCTCATCCCAGGCCTCAGGCTTCCTGTTCCTTTCCCTGGACTGTTGTCACCTGTCACTTGATCTAGATCATTCTGGGACTCCTCTCTTTTTCACGACCTCCAGGAATTTTTAATAATCACCTAAAGTAGGGTGAGTTTTTATTTATTAGTCTATTTTCAAGAAGGAAGGCATCTTAGAGGCCCTTCGGTCCTCGTCTTACGTTTGAAAGCACACACCCCCAGAGAGGGTGAATGAGCTAAGGTCACACAGCGAGTGACGGTAGAGGGGGTTTGCCTTTCAACATAAGAGGGTCACTGTCTCAGAAGCAGGACCTCAGCATCTGGGAGCGTGCCGTGTAAGGCAGGCAGCCCAGACACTGGCAGCTGGTGTGGAAGACGCACGTGGAGGCAAAGGTGGAATTGGGAGCTGTGCCCGCAACCCGTGAGGCCGCTCCTCGGAAGAGCACGCCAAGACGTGTGAACACAGACACACCTTTTGTACAGGGCTCCTCTGGTGTTCGAACCCTTGTTCCCAAGACGCTGCCATTGCAAAACAACATCTGAGACCTCTTGAGGGCTGTCTTCAGGCTGCACACCGTGATGGTCAATCTGTGGCATTTGAGGATGCTTTGAGTTGAAAAGAGTCCGAGTCGTTCAGAGCCAAGTCTAGTGAGTGGAGGAGGCCATTAGGCTGGGGAGCTTCAACAGTGGCTGTGATAACTCATATGAGAGGGGCCCCCCAAAACACTTTATTTATAAAAAACTGTGTATTCCTTTGGGAGGCTGAGGTGAGTGGATGGCCTGAGCCCGCGGGTTCGAGACCCGCCTGGGCAACTTGGCCAGACCTCATCTCTACAATAAATCAAAAATGAGCCGGGCGCGGTGGCGCGCGCCTGTAGTTCCGGCTCCTCGGAAGGCTGAGGCGGAAGGATCGCCGGAGCCCAGCGGGTCGAGCCTGCGGGGGCCGGGAGCGGCCGCTGCGCTCCAGTCTGGGTGACAGAGGGAGACTCCAACTCAGAAAAAAAAAATTATGTATTTGTTCTTACGTGTTTAAACTTCAATCACCTTCAAGGTGCTCTGCATTTGATACCATGGGCCTACGGAGACACTTTCCCCGCTCCTCAAAACAGTTGTTGAGCTCGTCAATTTTCGATGCCTCTTTGCGCTCCCTCTGTTTTTTGGTTTCACGTCTTCCACATCAGCAAGATGTTTCCTTTTGAGGACTTTTTCACCCGGGAAAACAGCAACAAAAAAGTCGCTCAGGGCGAGATCAGGTGAACAGGGAGGCGCAGGGGTCGTGCTGCTTCCGTTCACAAAGTGCTGAACCCTCAGCCCAACGTGGGCAGGAGTGCTCGCAAATCTCCACCCATCACGAAATGGGCAAACGGGTTGAGAAGATCTCTAGAACCAATTCAGTGAAGCCGAACGCAGCCTCTCACCACAACGTTAGCAGGTACACGGATGCCGATGGGCTCCTAAAACACTTCTCTAGCAGCCAGGGTCCTGCCCTCCGAAAAGATAATTCCATCCCCCTAAATGTGAGAGTTTCCTGTGGGGTTTGTGAGCTGCCTCAGTCCCAAGGGCACAGTGCTGAGGAAGGAATCAGAACAGGCTTTGTATCCTGACAGCCTTTTGGGAACAGTGTGTAACCGCGCAGCAGGGGGACTGTGTGTCCTGAGGTCGGCTGTGATAGCTCGTTTTGCTACAGAATGCCAAGGAGCAGCCCGAGCCGTAAAAGTCCGCCAGGTCGCCCCGTTTGTCTGATCATGGTGTCGAGGAAGCAGGGATGAGTGCGCGAGGCGGGCCCAGAGCAGACTGTGGAAGGGACAGGACAGAAGCCGTGGGGGCCAAGGACAGCCAGCGAGTCGAGGGGTTTCAGCGTGTGCTTGCGTTTTCTCAAAGTGTCCGTTACATCTCGTGAATTTGTCCTCACGTCTCAACCCGCCCAATCCTCAGTTCTGTTCCTCTTTGACCTCTCACTCTCACAACCTCCCCAGCGTGACCCAAACTGGCTTTTTTGGGTGAGGTCACTGATGGCTTCTCACTTCCTGTGTGTCACGGCCTTTCCCCCAGTCTTCATCCTCCTTCACTTCCTGTTTCTTGACTGAGCTTTCATGCTCCGACAGATGGTCTCCAGGAAGGGGCTGTTGATCTGCTAAGCTTCCTTCCTTCCGTTTCTACCTCACGAAGCGTATTTTCTTTGATTCCTTTTTCCTTCATGTTTCAGATTCTATCTTCAATTTCCTTTGGCCTTTTTACTCTGATTGTATTCCTGATTCTCTCACCAATGCCATCCCAACATTTCTAGCTGCTGGATGGACACTGCTGTTATTGTTCAGAATCAGTATGTCTCTCTCTCTCCTGTTACTGTGACTCCAATCCTCTATGTTTGCTCATGCTGTTTTCCTGCCTGAATGCCCTGCCGGTACGTTTCTTCAGTCTCACCCTTGCCCATTCCAAGACGAAACAGCCCCGTCCCCCATGTTCTTCCCTAATGCCCTCTCTTGGGAACTTTCATCAAACTCAATCTCTTTCTTGTTTACCTACACCCATGGCTTAGACTCCAAATGCAGTGAGTCCTTGGGACGTGTCCGAATCTTCTTTTTTGCCCTAATGTACCCAGCTGCCTGTCTTGCCCATTCTACTCAGTTGATATGATTTAGTAAATTAATTAGAAAATCTTCAGTCTGCCAATGCCACAGCAGTTGCTGGTAGGTTCCCGACTGTATGTGTCCTTGGATACATTACTTGATGTCTCTGCGTCTCACTTTCCTCTTATGTAAACTTGGGATGACATCTATCTTGCAGAGTTTTTGTAAAGATTAAATAAGCAGCTAAGAGTTTTTGTAAGCTGGAGAGCCCTTGAAAACTAAAGTTTATTTTGAGGGACATTTTGCTTGTCAGAAGGTCACCAGAGACTAGAGAGGCCCTCTGCTTTAACACTGAAGGTATTTTTTTTCTGTGAGGATCTGAGGGTTTTTTTGGCGATGTCTCCAAGTCAAACATCATTAGGATTTTGTTGTTGTTATTGAGTTGTATTCAGAAATTTGTCTTTCCCTTTTGGCATTCAGAAAACATTTACTGAGCACCTGCTATGTGTCAAATGATGTTATAGAGACGGAGGAATGCCAAGATGAATTTAACCTAATTTCTACCCTTCAGGGGCGCTTAGTTTATCCATGCAGACATGTGTAAACAGACTGTGATGAGGTAATGTAGTAGATGCTATACTAGAGACATGCACAGAGCACTGTGGGAACACGGAGGAGGAAGCAATTAATGTCCTGTGTACATCTCAGTATGAACATAAATGACCTCATTCTAGTTTCATAGTTCCCAGGGATAGCAGGCATGTCAGAAACGACCACCTCCAACTACAAGTGGACACAAGGAGGGTAAGGGATTTGTCCAGGTCACGTCTTGAGTCAGAATTGGGCCTAGAACATGCTCTAATTCCATTGCCTTTACCTTTGGGGTGCTCCGAACTTGGAGTGGGAGTTAGATTGAGTGTTTAAAGTATGCTAACTTTGCAGTACCCGTTGATCACTGACTAGCTTTGTAACGAGGAACACGCGACTGAACTTCTCTGCTTCTCAGTAGAGAACCCCAAGGACCAGTTTCCCAGTCGTTTGGCTTCTGCCTCTGAAAATCAAGTACCCTGTAAGCTCTTTGATCACCTTACCGATCTTAATTAGATCAAAAGGAGAGGGATGGGAGAGCTCTGTGAGGCTTCAAGATAATATGAACCGTTGAGCTGCAGGGTATATTTAGACTTCACTGTCCTTCTCTCTGGTTTTATAAGGGTGCAGGGGTGGCATAAATGACTTGGATTGGCTTAGATTCTTTCAAAGGATTGTCGCCTCACTGAAAGAGAGGAAAAGGAGGGAAAGGACTGGACTTGGTGTTGTAGATATTTTCACTGATCCTGCCCCCTTGGGGTGACCTTTTGGATGGTCGTTACTTTTGTGACCAATTTACAAAGTTTGATGCCTTTTCTCTTTGTACCCAGTTCAAATATTAGAAATAGAAAAGAGAGTAACAACTCAGAAATACTCCTGTCATGCCATTTTTTTTATTTGCAGACAGTGCATCTTTATTGGATGCCTACTTTTGCAAAACACTGGCCTATATGCAAGTGGGGTGTATAGATTTATTTATATGTCTGGCTTGTTCCACAGCATTTCTGAGGTGGCTTACAAGAAAAACAATCAAACAACATCATATGAGTAATCAATTAAAAAAATAAGAACCAGGAAAAACACAAATTAAAATAGAATGTCGAACTCGGAGGAAAAAAACAGAAGGCAGATATTCAAACCATACGGTCCTCTGGTTTCCACGGTCGAGCTGCAAATTTAACCTTGACCCCAAGTGAAAGGAGAATGTGGTTGAGGCGTAGCCCTTGGGTACCTCTTAATGTCTGCAGCAACATCTTTTTGGGTAGAAATATTCCTAAGGCCTATCACATAATTCTCACTTTCTTATGTACAGCGTGTCTACATATAGTCCCTGTATAATGCATTTGTAAACTTTTCTGGATAATTCAAGCTCATCAGTAAGGACATAAGGCTTTTTATGTTCTCTCAAGGATGATCAAAGTCTTATGAGGATTGTTTGCCCCACACACTGCTCTGATTTCTTGAATTCTTGACTTTGGTTACTTCCCTCCCTGAGTTTTGCTATTTCAGTTTTGCTTTGCAGTTTGAGAGACAGAAAAACAAGCTCATTAGAATTTCAGGCAAATGGAATGTGGAAACGCATTGAGGGAGGGTCT